AAGGAAAGGAAAGGAAAGGAAAGGAAAGGAAAGGAAAGGAAAGGAAAGGAAAGGAAAGGAAAGGAAAGGAAAGGAAAGGAGAAAAGAAAAGAAAGGAAAAAGGAAAAGAAGGAAGGAAGAAAACAAAATATGCCTTGTCAGGGGTGTGGCCGAGTGGTGGAGTAGCAGCCTAACATGTTCAGGGCTCCAATACTGTAACATTTAAAAAGAGGGATAAGACCCTCAGGGAACTGTAGGGATTGGCTGGCCCTCAGAGTGCGGGGCTCTCAGGCTAAAAGAAGTGGGAATCTCAAGGGTCCCTGCTGCCCATGCCCAGAGCTGCTGTCCTTAACCTGGTGCTGACGTGACCAAGTTTACTAAGCTGCACTGCTTCCCCCTGCTGGAGACAGCGCTTTTTTTCCTGATGTCCTGGAGCACCTTTCTCTTGGCTGAAGCATGTGGGTTTACGGGTATGTATATTTACTTCTGGGCTGGGGGGTTGGAGGGTGAGAGGAAGAGAAGGAGAAGGGGAAGAAGAGAGAAGGAGGGTTATGCAAGGCTCAACTGCCATAAATTTTTGTGTCGTATAATTGTTTTCTTGCCTCTTCTTTCCCACTGACTTTTAGAAACTCTTTTGACAGGTGTTGTAGCTGTCCTTTTCTGTGGCATTACACAAGCTCATTACACATATAACAATCTGTCAGTAGAATCAAGAAGCCGAAGCAAGCAGGTAAGAGAGGCCCTTGAGCTTGACGGGCTGTCAGGTAGCATGACAGGAGTACAGAGTTCACAGCTCCTTTTTCCTTCTTCCTGCAGCTTTTTGAAGTGTTACACTTCCTGGCAGAGAACTTCATCTTCTCCTACATGGGCCTGGCACTGTTCACCTTCCAGAAGCACGTTTTCAGCCTTATTTTCATAATTGGTGCTTTTGTATCCTTTTCTGTTCTACATTGAAGACAGAGAGGTGACTTCTGCTGTGAGAGCTGTCCAGCCACTAAGAATATTCATTTGATTTCTGACTCTGTTTTGAATGGGTAACTGAGTCAGTTCTAGTTCCCTATATTTGAAGCAGACACTTCCTAATGCTGAATATATTTGATTTCAAGGACTCGCTTTTTTTCCTGCCATTTTCTGTTATAAGCTAAGTGTTTGATGGGTTATCATTTCCTTTGTAGCACTCTTTCTTGATTAGATCTAAAAGTTAATAACCATGTCAGTCTCCAGAATTGTTGTTGCTATGCTATTGCTATGTCAACTGTTACACCATCAGTTCCAGTCCTCTTGGTCTCGGCTGCATCTTCCAGCTTGGGCAGCCTTACCCCATGATGCCCTTGTGTGTGTGTGTTTGGACAGTAATCATTCTTTCATCCTAGCTGCCCTTCTGCTTCGGATTATGCTAGGGGAGACTCCTTTGTTTTTCTAAAACAGGAAGGAAAAGAGGTTTGGAAGGAGGAAGGGCGGAGGAAAAAAAGAACAGATAAAAAAACTAACAGGATTAGAGGGAAGAAGAAGGAAGGAGAAAGAGAAGAAAACAAAACACCTAGTTCTTTGGCTTGGGTCTTTGAGAATTCAGTGTTTGGAAAGGGGACACTTGAGTGCTTGGCTTAGAGAGGAGAGATGTGAGCACCCAGCAGTGATTCATTGGTGGATGGCTTTGCTCACTTGGTCTTAGATATGATTTTTTTCACTGAAGTCAACTTTCCTGGGGCTGGATTTTTAAGACCCTGACCCTACTACTAGACATTTGTTTTTTGTTTGTTTTGTTTTGCCTCTTCGAGGACTCATGGAAAGGCTTAACTCTGAAAATGTTATCTAAAATGAATGTTTCTCTCTTCTGGGATTTTTGTTTCATGTGCAAGAGTGTGGGGGCTCTCCCTCCTTAGCTGATGGATGGTGACAGTTCTGGAGTCCTAGTTAGGGTCTTACATAGTGGTTACACACATTGAGTACAGGGACAGCTTAGAATCTGTGGGCTTAGTTTTTCTTCACTCATGGCACATTGCTCTGATTTGTATTTCCTGTATGGCATCCTGGAAGAGAGAGTGGGAAGGGACCTTGTTTACAGATCAGGGCTGGGTGAGCCACATCCTCCGGGAATCCAAAAAACCCTGCTGACCACTTGAGGATTTTTTCCTTTACTTCTGAGGTAGAATGTGTTTTACAAGCACTACCCATTTCCTTTTGTTAAAAACAAAACCAAACAAGGAATTGAGGAAAGAAAAGAAAAAAGGCAGAAAAACATTTTAGACTTTACCATGGAGGAAGTAGAAGAGAGTTTGGCCCCGGCTTCTGTCTGAACCAGCTGTGTCTCCTGCAGCTGGCGCATTGGTGAACGGAAGCTCTCTGTTTGCTGGCTCCCGCCTGGGTTTCCTTCTGACCATGAGATTGTGCAGCTCTCTCTGCTGGGTGCTGTTTAAACTTGGCAAGGGAAAGATGACTGGTTTCCCTGAGTTCTTTGCTTTTCACATTCATCCTTTTCTACTTCTTTTACTCCCCAAGGTCAGTTAAGGTATACAGGCAGAAAACTCTCTCTGTTAATTTGTGTGAGTGAATGTCTCTTTGTGGTAAGAATAATTGAAGTTTTCTCACTTCTAATTTTCAGGTGTTCCCTGGGCATTGAACTCTCTGATGTTTGCTTGCAAATGAAGTTTTCTGGCTATTTCCCAGAAAACTTTCTACAATTTGACTTCAGGGTTATTTTTATTTCTTATCATTGTCCTTCCAATAGAGTCCAACATAGTGTGTGCTTTGTTTAGTCTTCACTCTTGTGATGGTGCTTTAGGGTTTTTTTTTGGACTCATTTTTAAAGAAATCGAGGAATATGCCAATACCACTTCAGTTCAGTTCAAAACTTAAAACAATGTGTTTATAGGTTGGAAATGAATGAAGAGTGAAAGTTGACCAAATAACTCCCATTTTGTTGCTGAGAGATTGTTGTAGGGGGGAATCAAAGCATTCTGGCTTCTTTGGGAAGCTGCCTGTTTCATAACATTCCGAAAATTTTATGTTCAACCAGAGTGTTTTGAAGTGCCATTCTGGAAACATGTTGGGTCCTTAACCTCATCTGGTGGTCAGGTTGCCATCTTCCTGGGCAGAGCTGCACATATCTACCCCCTTTCTTTCTTCCTCAACTTGGGCAGAAGGCATAAGATTGGCTGGAATTTTCAACACATGATGATGTTTTCAGGTAAATAAATATATATTATACACACACATATAATATATACCCATGTATATATAAAAATAAATTTTATTTCCCAAACAGTGATAACATGATTACAGCATAATCATCTGGGTTTGGTAGCACATATCTGTAATCACAAACCAAGAAGAATAAGGCAGAAGGATCAGAAGTTCAAGGCCATGCTTGGGAGCACATTGAGTTTGAGGCTAACCTGGAGTACATAAGACTCTGTTTCAAAAACCCTGTTACGGGTCAGCTTGTCTTTTCAATGTTCTGTGAGATACTCCCTCCTTTGCTAAGAAAATACTGTCCTGTTTTCAACAAATGTGCATGTAACATATTCAGACTCTGGCAGCACTTCTGTTGCCTGTGTGGTATTTCGATAGAAGACTTAAAGAGCTTGTTATTATGTAAGTTTATTTTTCTTTCAGGTCACTAGCAGGAGAACCATTTTAATAGAAAGATGGTTAATGTTAATGTTAATGTGTTGTACAAAGTGATGCTGTGTTTTTCTTGTACTGGGAATTCTCTGAAAGCCTGTTGCAAAGACCATATGCCTTCAATGTGCATCTGCCTGGCTTAGGCAGCCTGGCTCCCAAAGCATATGGGTAGAAGTTTTACCCCAACATGTGATACTACATTTTGAAGAGTTGTTGCCATGTCCCCTCCTCACCAGAAGATCTTCCTGTTTGGTCTCCACAGGCCTGAGGGGAGCAATGGCATTTGCACTGGCCATCCGAGACACAGCATCTTATGCCCGCCAGATGATGTTCACAACTACACTGCTCATTGTCTTCTTCACTGTCTGGGTCATCGGTGGAGGCACAACGCCCATGTTGTCATGGCTGAATATAAGGTAAGTTTGGAACCAAGTCAATTCTGTGTCTAAATGTTTTAGTTGCCATTGTTCTTGAGAATGTTCAATGTGCCCTGCAGAATTCTTTTGGCTTAAGCAATGTGTGTATGTGGGAGTGTATTAGATTTTTTTAATTAAAAATTGGAATATTGAAAATTTCCAAGACATAAAGTGTCATTAAATCTAAAAAACAATTTAAAATAAAGTAACGAGTACACACAGGAAATTTGGATGAGCTGGCTTTTTACTAGGGCAGTGAATTTAGTACAAGAGTTCAAAGTCTTAAAGCTACAGGAAGAGGGAACAGACCTGTAACCCTGGTGTTTCCTGTTCCTTTGTGATGAAAGCTGGGCCCAGATTTTAGCCAGAAATCAAAAGAAACAAGTAGAGTTTCTCATTTTTAGGAATTTGTATGCCATGCCTCTTGTTGCTTCTGTGCAAAAAAGAGATAGTATTTTCTATGTTACCCTCACTTGTTATGGCCTCATGACATCTTTTGTGTGTGGTATGTAGCTTTGTCAGGACAGAGGGATGTTGACCTGAGTTCTTTATCCTCCTTCCTCTACTTTCCAAGCACTGGGATTACGGGCATGCACCGCCATACCAAGACTCAGGAACTTTATTTTATAAAGAGTGTTTGAACTCTATACTGTATAGTCAAAGGCACTAATTGGAAGAGGAGTCCAGAGACTCACAGCCCGACTATGCCTGATCTCTGATTCCTTGTGTCTCTGAGCTTCGGTTTCCCTCAGCATTAAATGAAACCTTGTGTCATAGTATAATTAAGTGTTAAAATCTGCCTCTGCATGCTGTAACACTGGAGGCACCTGCTTTAATTTCATGTCTGCACAGGGTGACTGTGACCCTTCAAGGCGGCACTTGGGTAATGTGAATGCCCAAAGAGTTGCTCTCTAAAGAGCCACCAGGTGGCAGTATATCTTTCTCTATTGCTCTTTGTTTACCGTCTTCTGCCAAAGACAGTTGAGGCTTCTATACACTTCAGAGGAGAGAAACAGGATTTGAGAGCATAGCATCTTCTACCTGAGGCTTTTATACTGATGGTAGGCAGGGATTGCTGGGTTTGGCCTCTTCCAGTTATACCATTTCTGGGCTAGTGGCTTGCAGATCAAGGCAGGGGCTTCTTGGTGACAATCAGAGTCCTCATTAATGCTTGCATTGCAGATGTCATTTACATTTTTATGCTTATGTATTAAGATGGTTCTCACAACATCCCCATTGTAGAGATAATACTGCAATCTCTATTTTAGATTTGAGAAATGAGGCACAGAGCAACAATTTTGCCCTAGGTCACAGAGTTTTAAGAGGATGAAGCAAGATTGGAATTTCACTTATCATAGGCTTTTGAAAATATTTAATAATAATAATGAATAACTTGTGAGGGTTTTTTGAAAACTTTAAAGTCTATTATAATTAATTTCTCATTCCATTCATAAAAATTCACTTTAATATATTTAGAAAGGATGTCTTACTCAGCAATTAAAAACAAGGAAATCATGAAACTTGCAGGTAGAAACTAAAAAACATCATCCCGAGTGAGGTAACCCAGAAGCAGAAAGACACACGTGGTATATACTCACTTATAAGTGGATATTAGACATAAAATATAGGATAAACATTCTAAACTATATAGTCCTAAAGAAGCTAAACAACAAGGAAGACCCTAGGAAAGATGCTTAATCCTCCTTCAGAAGGGTAAACAGGATAGACATCAAAAGCAGGAGAAGACAAAGAACAGGACAGGAACCTTCCACAGAGGACCTCTGAAATACTCCACTCACCAGGTTATCGAAGAAGATACTGAGACACATAGCCAAACTTTGGGCAGAGTGCCGGAATCCTTATAGAAGAAGAAGGAGATAGAAAGAACTGGAGAGGACAGGAGCTCCACACGAAGAACAACAGAGCCAAAAAATCTGGGTCCAGGGGGTCCTGCAGAGACTGATACTCCAACCAAGGACCATGCATGGAAAGGACCTAGATCCCCTGTTCAAAGGAAGCCCATTGGCTGCTCAGTTTCCAAGTAGGTTCCCTAGTAAGGAGAGTAGGGGCTGTCTCTGACATGAACTCAGTAGCTGGTTCTTTGATTACCTCCCTCTGGGGGAGGGGTACAACCCCAGGCCACAGAGGAAGACAATGCAGCCAGTCCTGATGAGACCTGGTAGGCTAGGGTCACATAGAAGCGGAGATCAGGGGACTAAGGAAAGGGCACAGGGGGAAAAGAAGGACAGTGGGTGGTACTGGGAGGAGACAAGGGAAGGGGCCTGCAGCAGGAATACAAAGAGAATAAATTATAATTAATTAATAAAAAAATTAAAAAAAGAAGTCTTGACATGGATTTTGCACGGTGCTGTCCACCTGTAAGAAGGGTTGTGGTGCTAAAGATTGCTTTCCTCACAAAATTTGAACTGTTTAGAATTTCAACTTCCTAGCTTTAATACTAAGGGTCAGATTAAGAAACATAGTCTATCCTTGGGAATATAAAACTGAAGAAAGAAATTATGGTTATATGGCTTTCAACTTGAAAGATCAGATGACAGTGTCTTTGTTCTTTGTAGCAGTACGAGGGCAAGACAGATGTTTGACCCTGTGTACAATTGGAAGTATTTGCATTCAGTGAACTATGAAGTTAGTTTCTGCCAGATTTCATACTTTTGGAATAGGGATACTCATCTTGTATAAAGAATTGTGAGACAGATAATAAACAAAATTTTGTAATATCTCATACTCTCTGATACTTGTATTTATCACAAGCTTTTGAAAATATTGAACAATAATATATAACTTAGGGGTTTTCTTTTTAAAAGTTCACAGAGTCTGTTATAATTAATTTCTCATTCAATTTATAAAAATTCACTTTCATGTATTTAGAAATATTCACACTTAGGCTTGATTTTTCTATGAGTAAATTAAAACAGCTCCCCTTTTCTGAGGAATGGGGATTGGGGCAGAGGGAAGAAGGGCTGGAACCAGGAGGAGAAGAGGGAGCTATAATCAGATGTAAAGTGAATAAATTAATTAATTTAAAATAATAAAAATTCCCTTCCAAAGGAAACCTTGTCACAAAATAATTGAATAAAAGAAAAGTAAACAGAATCTTACTCTGCTTTTCATAGGAATTGTATTTTACATATTATCTTTTAAGGAGATTAACATCTGCATCCTGTTGTGTCCTCCAATCCATGAATATAGTGTGTTTCCCCATTCCTTTTAACCTTCTTTAGTTTCTTTCAGATTTGTATTTTGTCATTTTTAGCATACAAATCCTATGCACATTTTATTAGATTTATATCCTGTCACCTTGCTGAATTTCTTCTGAAGTTCTAGGAGGTACTTTTTGTTTGCTTATTTGTTTGTTTGTTTGCTTAAATTTTTTAATGGCTGAGTAATATTCCATTATGCAAATATAACATATTTTGTTCATCCGTTCAGTGATTGACAGACATCTAGGTTGTTTCCAATTGCTGACTTTAATATATAGAACAACTCAGCACAGTTGAGCAACTTCATTCTGAAGCGGAATGAAGTGTCCTTTGGGTATATGTCGAAGAACGGTATAGCTCAATCCTGAGTTATATAAATTCCCAGGTTCCTTAGGACCAGCCACTGATTTCCAGAGTGACTGTACAAGTTTTCTTTTTTTAATTTTTATTTTTTAAATATTAGTTACAGTTTATTAACTTTGTATCCCAGCTGTAGCCCACTCCTTCATTCCCTCCCAAACCCACTCTCCCTCCCTCCCTCATCTCCTCCCTGCCCCTTTCCAAGTCCACTGATAAGGGAGGACCTCCTTCCCTTTCATCTGACCCTGGTTTATCCGGTATCTTCAGGACTGGCTGCAAAGTCCTCCTCTGTCCTAGCAGGGCTGTTCCTCCCTTGAGGGGTGGGGAGGTCAAGGAGCCCGCCATTGAATTCATGTCAGAAATAGTCCCTGTTCCCCTTACTAGAGTACCCACTTGGATACTGAGCTACCATGGGCTACATCCAAGCAGAGGTTCTAGGTTATAACCATACATGGTCCTTGGTTGGAGAAACAGTCTTATAAAAGACCCCTGTGCCCAGATATATTTGGTCCTTGTGGAGCTCCTGTCCTTTCCAGGTCATATTAACTCGCCCTTCTTTCTTATGATTCCCTGCACTCTGCCGAAGGTTTGGTTATGAGTCTTAGTATCTGCTTTGATACACTGTTCACTTATATAAACCTATAAGATAGGATAAGCAAGAAGATAAACAAGAAAGAGGCCCCAGGGTAAGATAATCAATCCTCACTTAAAAAGACAAATGGGATGGATATTGGATGTAGGAGAAAATAAACAACAGGACAAGAGGCCTCTGAAAGACTCTACCTAGCAGTGTTTGTTTGTTTTCATAGTCTTTGGGAATTTCTACATTGATAATAATTTCTAGATTATTTACATAATTATGCAAAGTGAAATAGTTTATTTCATCCTTTTCAGTCAACATGCTTTTGGCTTTCTTTTCATGTATTATTGCTCTGGCTGGCTTTTAGTTCTATGTTTTATGAAAGTACTGTAAATGGGCATCTTTACCCAGCTCTGAGCATTAATAGTGATGTACAGCATTTTTTCTTTGGGTGTCATAGTAGCTTATAAGGTTTTTTAGCTCTTCATCATCAGATTGAATAAACATATTTCTAATGTTTACTTTTACTTTCTGCCTTTTAAAAATATCACATTTTATTTATTTGTGGGCACAGCACACATACTATTACATGTATGTGAAGCCAGGTGACAGCTTTTTAGGCATCAGTTCTTTCCTTCTACAATGTGTACCTTGGGGGTGGAACTAAGCTCTCCAGGCTTAGCAAGAAGTGCCTTTACTCCTCGAGCCATCTTACTGGTCCTCATGTTTGTTTTTAACAATTTTTTTTTCTGGCATCAGTTGGTATGATCATATACTATTTCTCATTTAGCTCTTTACTCTGGTGGATTGCATTGATCAATTCTCAAATTCTGAACCAG